CGAAAACAAACTGTGAACGGGAGAAAATTATTATGATACGGAGACTAAACTTAATCAAAAGAAGGAACAAAATTTGCACCTTCTTCCACCTGCTTTGCTTGATGAACATCAAGAAGCAAACTTCTTTAGGTAAATTCAAGTATAATTTGAATCAACTCCCATGCTGCTCCTGTTTTGTAAACCTTTGAATCGAAAGGCTCGGCTAAGCCATGAAGAAACTTTAACGAACCAGCATGATCCGCGTATGAGTTCAAAAGTTCACTCATTGTTATTCTTAAGCCGAGTTGCTAGCAACTTCTCCTTAGTGGTTCGAATACGAACGCACAAAGATGCGAGGTAAACTTTTTCGCAAAGTGATTACTCAAATAAACATCCCTAATAGACTAAAAACATTTAGAGCAACACTAGAGCAACACATTCTTGGTTATTTGTAGGTGACTTAAGAGCGACAAAAGGAGAAACAGGTGGGCTGTACATGAGCAAGTCAATCCCCTTGCAATGTTCCCTTTGTTTACGTAGGAAATTAAAAACAAGAAATTATGATAGTTCCTACTGTATTTAAATTTTTTTTAGATGTTGTCAATGTCGCCACAGTTATATGACATTTTCACAGTATATACTGATGTTTCTATTCTCGTGGTGTGGCGTAAAAATTTAGCTTCAATGAAAGAAAAGGCGATCACCAACCGCCAACATAACTTCAGGGACAACGAGATAAATTTAGAGCGACGAAGCATTTTGCTTTTCATTTTTAAGCATCATTACTTCATTAATAATATTTATAATAAAGTTCAGATATAACGCGTGTTGTCATTGGTTATGAGAGCGTGCTCTATGAAAGTATAGAGCATAGACCTGAGTTAAAGCTGTCACGCCATCTGCCGAATCGTACTATGTCCGACCTTTTCCGAGAATTCTTTCTAGCTTTTCTTTCGTAAATCGAGAGTGACATTTCGGAACAAGCGAGCAAAGGTTCGCAAAAATGCCAGGCGCAGTAATTTACATTACAGCAACGTGAGCAGAGACAAAAATCCTCAAAGATGAAACAAAATGGACAGTCTGAGTTTTAAATGTTTTCACGCTCAGTTAGATTACAAGTTAACGTACAGTAATAAATATCAAACACAGCTCGCACTTGTATATTACACAAAGTTTCGTGTTCAAAAACAAAACAGAAAAACACAGGAATTATTAAAAATATAACCAAGCATAACTGTTAAAATTCATACTAATCATGACGGTGTCAGAGCGACTACGATAATGCTGAGGTCTGTCGCGGCTAGCTCATCATGGCGATCTTCGGTCATCGCAGTGTAGCAAGCCTCAGGAATTAAATCGACCACCCTTCGAGTGGAAAAAAAGAGCTTCCTCCGATAACCTTTCCGATGCGTTGAGTGGAAGGCCACATCAGTCTCTGCAGCCGAGTTTTACAGTGCTGTCATTCCGAGCAATCTTCATGTCCTGGTGAATTCGGCTGTCGTTCATTCATAAAACACCCGCCTTGAACGGTTTGTTTTCTACTTGTTATGTGAAAT